AGAGAGCCAGTGCGGCACTGGCCTTTCTTCCCAGTGGGGTTTGTGCAGAGGGGTGGCTCTGAGGGGGGCTGAGGGGAGGGAGGGGGGCAAGAGAGGGCCAGAGAAGAAGGCTGGGAGGAGAGGGGGAGGGAGGGGTGAGAGCCAGAGCGGGGGAGGGGGACGAGGGGGGCAAGGAGGGCCTGAGCAGGTGGGGTGTCAACAGTGGGGTGCTCTGAGGGGCAGCCCCTCGGCTCACCTCCCTCCCTTCCCCTCCCGCCCTCTGACACTTACTCCCTGTGCTCAGGGGCCCTCCCCTGGGACGAGGCCAGAGCAAAGCAGAGGACCAGCTGGGATGTTCAGGCCAGGCTGTCACCACCCCCAGAAAGCCGTGTCCCCTCCCCCAGAAAGCCGAGCCAGGAGGGGCCGCGGAGCAGAGCGGGCAGGCCCAAGCGGCCTGAGAGGTGGCTCATGGCCACTTCCAGAGCAGAGCGGCTCAGCAGGCCGAGGGGCACTGGCCACGCACCTGGCAGGAAGGAGGCAGAGCCCCTCCCTCCTCCCCACGGCCCTGTCACCGCAGACAGGGGGTCCTCGGGAGACAGACATGGGGGGCCTTATTCTCTAACCCCAAATCCTTCCTCCTCCAGTCCAGCGCTCTGCTAAATGTTTCCACGCAAGACTGCAAACGGCCCTTCCCTGCTGTCGGGGCTCACAGGACTGTCGAGGACCTTGACCAGCAAGGCCGGAGAGTCGGGGCCCCAGGTCTGGCGAACAAAGAAAGCAGTCACACGCGTGTAGCAGAACAAAGAAAAAGCTCTTTATTGGGTTTTATCTCAGCTTTATACAGAAGGAGAGGGATGCCAGGAAGGGAGAAGGCCAATGGACACTAGACATGTAGCAGTGTTTGATAACATGGTTCTCGCGAGGGACAAAAATGGGCGAGAATGGAGCAGTGTTTTGATAATAGGTGGGTGAGAAAAGAAAGAGGAGAAAGAAAAGGTGGGGGCAGGGAGTTCTTCCCGCAGGCCTTTTACAACCCGGATGTTTTTTTCTATCCGGACTCCACTTCACCTTTTTATGACTCTGACAGACGCCAGATGCCGGCCTCGGTCCCCAACACAGGACCCAGAGTGAGCTCTGCTGCTGCCCCCTTCCCCGGGCCCAGCTGGCTGACCTGGCCCATGGCCCTTCTCAGGCCGGGCCGACCTGGACCAGGGACCTCCCGGGCCCCGCCGCGGCCTCAGGAGGCGCCTTGGCCTGGAGCAACCTTTCCTGCACCAACGGCTGCCCCTCCCTCTCCGGCTCTCTCCTGGGCCCGCAGTGCCTGGCCAGTCAGGGGCGCTGCCCGCCCGTGCGGCCCCGGGGAGACAGAGCCCTGCACAGTGCCTGCCCTTCCTGAGGGCCTCGGCACTGGGGCGGCAGGATGGCGCGGACCTGCTGCCGTGCCCACCCGGAGTACACCCGAGCAGGAGAGGAAACAGTGAAGCGCCCACTTCCTGCGGGCCGCGGCTGAGCGCGAGAAAGCCCCTCACGGTGGCGGGGCTGACCTCAGGAGACGCCCCGCCTGGGGCGCGGCCGGCCGCGCTGTTTCTCTGCCCGCCAGAGACCCCCGGCCCCACAGTTGGCTGTGGGCTGGCAGCGCCCGCGCCGGGCGACACACTCGGAGGCCGGAGGGAGCGTCCCGTGCGGCTGGACCCTGCTGCTCCCGGGGCCCTGCGAGGGAGCACCGTGCTGCCCTTCTGCCGAATCCACAGAGCTGGGAGGAGCTTCCCCAGGGCCCTTCCGCAACAGCAGGGGGGTGACAGGCGCAGCCAGCACCACCGAGGAGAAAGTGGGGCTCGAGCCCCGCTCTGCCCCGCGCAGCTTCCTCCGGCGATGGCACCTCTGCCTCCAGTGCCAGAGGGTGGCACAGCCGCGCCGGCCGGCACCTGCACCCTGGCTCCACTTCCTGCCTGGCTCCCGCCACCGTGTCCCCAGGCCCGATGCCCCTTCTCTGGCGCGGGCCGGCCTGTAGGTAACGGAGCGCGTGCCGGCCGACACCGGGCCGCCTCCGCCGCTTCTTCGCGGGCAGGGGCTTCTCCCTGGCAGCCGACGCCCCCCTGAGGGGAGACCCCGGTCCGCCCTGGCAGCCCTACCTTCCCGCTGCCCCAAGACTAGCTTCAGCCGTGGGGTGGCCGTGGGTGCTTGCTGGACAAGCTGGGCGACTCGCTCGCCGCAGTCCTCCAGCTGCGTCGCCCGCCCGGGGGCAGGGTCCCTCTGCCCCAACCAGCCGGGCTCCGCTGGCCGAGGCAGCTCCGCTCCTGCCCACGGAGACTGGAGCAAAACGCCCACACGGTTTCCAACAGGGCAGCTGCTTTCCAGCGGCCACACGCTGCCCCCCGCTGCAGCCCCGGGACCGGCTGCCTTGGGAGCGTGACCCGCGGGCCGGACGTGTGAACAGACACTGCCGCGGGAGGTCACACCGACGGCAAAGAACTCGCGCAAGGTGTTCGGCGTCGCCGGCGGGACGCGCGGCCCAAGACCGCAGGCTCCCTGCCCAGCTGAGCCCGCGGCTGATGGCGGTGCCGGCCACGGCCCGGGGAACCTGTTTGTCACTTTCTTTCAGGTCTTAGACACGATCCTGAGCGGCGCAGCAGTTGCCCGGGTGGACCCCAGCAGATGGCCATTTCCGGGACAGTCACGTCACCTCCTATGGTCGTAGCCCAAGGAAAGCTGCACCAGCGCAGGACCCCGTTTCCGTGACACGTCTTAAACGACGGAGTTTCCGAATGTGGACGGCGGGGGCTGGGCGGGAGGAGGGGGCGCGTGCCCGGGGTGAGTTACAGCTCGGTGACCGCGGTCGCGCTGCTGTAGGGACGCTCCGGGCGCGCTGAGGGCAGGTGTCCAGCGCTTTCGCCACACGAGTAAGAGCGTAAGTAAGACGGTGTGTGCGGTGACGAGCGTGCTCAGCTGCCGGGCAAGCCCTTCGGGCGCAGGCGACGTTAACCAACACGGTGAAGACGACCTGTCCCCATTCCTGTTCCGGGGGTCACTCACACCCCGGGACAGCAAAGGTCAAACCTGACTTGTCCTCGGCGCAGCTTTGCAGTGACGGTTACAATTGCTGGAAGAGATAAATATGAGCGTCACTGGATCACAGGACTCTGCTCGCCTCACTGTGCCCCCGCGCCCCCCGACCCCCGTGTTGCACACGCACGCGCTGATGTTGCTGTCAGCCCTTCGGGACCCCAGGGCCCTCCTCCCTGGGCTGCTCCCCGGGACACCCGTGCTTCTGACTCCTCCTGCCCTGTCTGGGCATTTGGGGCTTATGAGGAAGCCAGGAGCGCCCCGGTCAGCCCCAGGCCTGCTGCTGGCAGAACCCCGGTGTGAGCAGACCCCCGGCGCCCCGGGCGCTCGCCACGGAGCCTCCTGCTGTGGAGGCCCCCAGGAGCAGGCAGCTCAGGCTCCAGGTCCCGCGCGGAGCTGTCCCGCGGCAACTCACGTGCAGCGACCCTGTAAAGATGTAGAGAAGGGTCTGCGACGGCCTGAAACCCCACACTCAACACCAGCGGGGAGCCGGGGCCGGAGCAGGTCCTGGAAGCCTCAGGGCACCCACACCCCCTCTTCTCCAGCATTCCTGGGGCTGCTTCCAGCGCCGGGGGCCCGGCCACGCACTGCCCTGCAGTCGTACTGGAGTGACACACACCTGGCTACAGTGTGGCCAGCAGCAACACGCAAACTCCTCGCTGGGCTGCCTGGGCTTGGGGGGCGCTGGCTTTCCCAGGGCTGCTCTTCTCCACGCTGTGAAAGCGCCTTCCACCTTCAGGGCCGAGTCCCACGGGGCCGCCAACAGCCCACCCTCCCTGGCCCTGCCTTAGCGGGCCAGCTCCGGGCCTGCTGGCTCCCGTCCCGTGGCCCCTTGCGCGCTCCTGGTCTGCGGGAACTCACTGACCTGTCTCCCTCCCCATGTCCTCAGAGGCCCTGACCACAGCAGGGTTCTTCGGTGTGCTCATCCTCTTTGTCCACATGGGGCGTTCACCCCATCGTTTAGGTTCCCACTTAAGGACGATTTCATCAGAGCAGGGACCCAGCCGTCCCTTGTCCTGGCGCCCGGGGAAATGCTGTCCCGCGTAGACGTGGGAAGGCACCTGCCATCGGGAGTCGCCTGTCCCGAAACGTGTCCTTGTCATCTGCCTGAAATTCTCACTGCCAGGAGCTCCCCTGTGGACAGAGGTGCCTTAGCCAAATTTACGAATACCTAGGAAGCCGCTTATCCGGCTCAGCTTATTCTGTTAGGTGATGATACAGACAGAGGTACAGATGAGTGCCACAGGCACAGCTCCCAAAGGCAAGTGAAGGGACGCTCCGAAGCCTCCGCACTCCGGGGACAGCAGAGACGTTAGCTGCTTGCGTGGGATCCCGGAGACGAATGGGTGTATCGGAGTCCGTCTTCACCTACCGACCCACCTGTCCACCTACCTGCCTGAGCGTTTCTGAGTGCAGACGGACACGTAAAGTGCTCCCGCCTGTCGCGTTTCTCAAACCTCCGCACACACACTTCACACCTCCGAGGCCCTAAGGGCCGTTTATTTCGGGATGCGCCAGGCCCAGCCTCGAGTACTGGGATGACCGAGGAACCCCGCTGCGCGCCTGCTCCGCGCTGACAGGCCACCGGGTTTTCCGTGCACCGAGTCACGTGGAGCGCGAGCCCCCAGCGCGGACGCCCCGCCCCGCCCCGCCCCGCCCCGCCCCGCCCCCTGGGCGCGGTGACTCCGAGGGAAGCCGGCGCTCACGGCCGGTGGGCGGAGCCAGTGGGGGCCAGTGTCCAATTAACGGTGACGGAGAGGCTGGGCGGGCCGAGGGGAGCGCTGGGAGGGGCCGCCTAGGGGGCGGAGCCCGCGGGCGCCGG